GTTATTTTAATGATTTGAGGTCAAGTTTACCACTCGAGATCATTTGGGTTAAACCTGGTGTTTCTGGTGCGTCATTCCATATACAAAAACTCTTTCCTATTAGCTGCACATGTCGGAAAGTTTGACATCTCTACACATACCACAGAAACAATCTTAAATTGGAGTGAGAAAAATGTCCTAAGTTATTGTAAGGATGTACAGGCGCGTGTGGTGTGTGCCCGCCATGCTGAGGATGGGTGGTGCTATCAACCAACGGTCGTTTCATTGTCTTCACCACCCAAGCTGTTGATCACAGATAACCAAGGCTCAGGGAAACCTCTCACTTGGTGAGTTCCAGTGATATGCCCAAACCGTAAATATCCATTTCTCGCATGAAACCCTGCAGTGATGCGGGCTCATCAAGCTTGACCTCTCCGACACATCAACTCCAAAGCTACCTGACTCTTACATGACCCAGTATCCCCCAAATTGAACTCTTGTCTTTGCACCCAGACTTGACAAGCGAAGTTAGGCCATCCCTTGATGTGCGAGTTGACAAGGTCAAGAAAGGATGAGGCTTGGATGGCACATGTACCAGCTTACTGAAGCAACGCAGGCCTGCAGATGGTGACATCATCACCTGATTGGGATACAATTAACTCAGTGCTAGCAAACGAGTCAGCGAAGCCCCTTGCCGAAATCGGCATCTACGACCTATTCCTACACAAGGCCACATCCTCATCTTCAATGTTCAAGCACGTGATGAAACTGATGATGCAGAGCACTGAATTCCTCAATCCAGGCCAGCCCGGCGTGTTTGGATCAGTCACTGTATGATATCACCAAGCTGCTCTCAAAAGTCAATACCACCGATTTTTTTTTAGGAGAAGACAAGTTTGTATCAATGATGGGCGTGCAGCGTGCTGCACATTGAAGAGATTCATCAATGTGATAGGGGAGCACCTGCCTCACTCTGGGCATGGAGGATGGGAGGGCCACTGTCCTTTCTAAGGCTGAGGTCCTGACATTCACTCACAGTCTGAACTCAATGAGCATCACATCAGTCGCACGAGGTACGCCCATTAAGTCTCTCTCATGTCACTTTACCTGGTCAAGCAGACCGCCTACTCAGAGCATTGTAGGAATGTAATGGGCACACCGGAGTAATTTGATATGCGACCCAATGAGCCTGAAGGATTGAGAGTCACTGCGATCACTTCCGAGATCATTTCAAGCTTGTTTTGGAGATCCTCCGGGCCTATTGGAGCTCTGGATGATCTTCAGAAGTGGTGAAAAGTACAGTGACACTAGTCCATCTACTCTGATCTTGGTCAGTTGGTCTGACAAAGTCCTTGGCACCACCCCTCTTCCAAAGCCTAACATGGTGCGACACGACTTGCTTCGCCGTCATGCAGAGCAAGGGGTGTGGTGCAGCTGCAGGTGTCAAATGGGCCAGATATCGCTTCTTCACTACTGGAAGCAGCTTGTCGGAGGCATCCCAGCTACCTGCCGTGCTGTTTGAACATATAAAGCAACCGCTACTGCAGGCCACCTTGGTCCAGCAGGAAGTTCCTGACTTTATGGAGTGGGGCTGGCACAAAGATGGTACCAGTACATGGCAATCACTATGGACCACACTCTCAATGATGCTTCAGTGGCATGCGCCATTCTCTTGCACTGCGGCTGCCTCATGCAAGGGAAGAAATGCAACCACATTGGGTTTCTATATGCAAGGTCCTATACAAATTATGGAGAAATGTGCATAATTGGACGGTGGTGACGACCAATACAGTACTCATTTCTGGCCGAGCATCATAGAGGGCGGGCCAGAACGTATAGGTGGTAATATCATCAATCATTGGTTCATGCATATTGTAAATAAACAGCTCCATTCAAACGCACACAGCTGCATATAGCATTTTGTCACTGCAGATATCATCCCCAAATATTTTAATAAAAATAGTTCAAACAGTAATCTTTATTGAAAAGTCTAATCCCTAATGAACTTTAGGGCAAAATGTGACCTACAATCTTTAATAAAGCAATAGATTCAGATTCTCTAACCCTGAAAACCCCTGTAAAAAAATGGTATTATTAAGCTCGTTCAGTTTTTAACTGCGACTGACCTCTATAAACTTGGCTGGCGGCCACATTGGATTTTTCCAATATGGTGGCCCCCTGGGGCATCTGTCTTGCATCAAATCATTTAAATAACCTTAGATTCATATTCTTTGACACCGGAAACCCCTCCAAAGTTGTATTACTCATGATTCTAGCTAGTTTAAATTTTTAACTGCGGTGTGTGGCGGCCATTTTGGATTTTGCCAATATGGCGGTCCATTGGGGCATCTGTCTTGCCTCAAATCGTTAAAATAACATCAGATTCAAATTGCTCGACCTCGAAAATACCTGAAAAGTGGTATTATTTATGATTCTAGCTCGTTTAGTTTGATTGCATGACCTCTGACCCAGTTGGCGGCCATATTGGATTTTGCCAATATGGCGGCCCCGTGGGGCGCCTGTGTTGGCGCCCGTCAAAAATCGAAATAGTATGGTATGGACGACATCTGTGCCGAATTTGGTGCTTTTGGAAGAATCTGAACCAAACAGCCCCTTTAACGCCCTAACATCCCTGACTATCATAAGTCCGACAAAATCCCCTAACCAAATAAAGTCCCACAAGTCCGACGCCTCATAGGTCCGACGCTTAAGTCCGACGCCTCATAGGTCCGATGCGTCATAGCTCTGACAAATTAAACGCCTCGTTTTTTCCCGACGTCGGACTTGCGAGGCGTCGGACTAATGAGGCGTCGGACCTATGAGGCGGAATAGATAAATGTTATGCCTCATAATTAAGGCCGACGCCTCATTAGTCCGCGTCGGACTTCGTGATGCAGTGTGGAGAACTGAGTAAAGTGTGACAGACGGGGAGGGATTTCATTTATTGAACAATTTAATTTGAACACTTCAAAGTCAGTGGTGATATCCAAACAAGTATGTGCGAGTGCACAATCAGCTAGCTCTGACCGTCTTTCATGAAAGATTATAACGTTGACCGGAGATTCTGCGTATAAGCCCCGGCGGCAGCATCCCTAGCCTTTAGTCAAGTCCCACGCGCTTTCGTGACGCACCCCGGAAGCTGACACGTAAAAAGACTAGCACGAGCCAACCTCGTACACAGGGTGTCGAGCAGTACGTGCCCACACTAACTGAAATAATCTTGTGGAGACATTTCTTTGTTCTCGTGTAGTAAAGTTTTCGAGTTTGAAAGTGAAGTTTCAAAATGCTCTTATTTTAACCAGAATGAATTTCCTTGGCTAAAATTTGGACTAAATATCCCTATTTTAAAACTCTTCCATTTGCGACGCATCAACTAACCTTGGCTCCTATTTTTAGTAAAATCTATATTTTATAGATATATATTTTACATTTTCAGTAAAATCTTTATTTTAGTAAAATCTATAAATCTATTTCGTGAAAATCTTGTGGAGAGATCTTGTGGCGTTGACAGGCCTTGCTATGGGACTTACTGTACAAAAACGAAACTAGTGGCATCAGCTACTACATCTGCGGTTTTCTCCAAAAGTTTCAGGTCTAGAGCGTAGCCGATTTGCATGCTGGTTGGCCCATTCATCCGCTTTCCAACGGTATGAAGTTATTCCATAACCGTCCATGTTAAGGTACCTTTAGATTGCGATACATGAGAGCCATGCGGGTTTGGGCGGACGGGCCTTGCTATGGGACTTACTGCCAAAAACGAAACTAGTGGCATCAGCCACTACATCTGCAGTTTTCTTCAAATGTTTCAAGTCTAGAGCCTTATCGATTTGCATTCTGGTTGGCCCATGCATCTGCTTTCCAACGGTATCAAGTTTGTCCAGAACCGTCTATGTTAAGTTACCTTTAGACTGCGATACACGAGAACCATGCCGGTTGGCGCTGACAGGCCTTGCTGTGGGACTTACTGCACAAAAACGAAACTAATGGCATCAGCCACTACATCTGCGGTTTTCTCCACAAGTTTAAAGTCTAGAGCCTTGCCGATTTGCATGCTGGTTGGCCTTTTCATTCGCATTCTAACGGTATAAAGTTTGTCAAGAACCATCTATGTTAAGGTACCTTTAGACTGCGATACATGAGAGTCATGCAGGTTGGCGCTGACAGGCCTTGTTATGGTATTTACAGCACAAAACTAGTGGCATCATGTACTACATCTGAGGTTTACTCCAAAAGTTTCAAGTCTGAAATTTTGCCGATTTGCCAGCTTTTTGGCCTATCCATCATCTTTCTAACGGTATAAAGTTTGTCCAGAACGGTCCATGTTAAGGTACCTTTAGACTGCGATACATGAGAGCCATGCCGGTTGGCGCTTACAGGCCTTGCTATGGGATTTACTGCACAAAAACGAGATTAGTGACATCATGTACTACATCTGACGTTTTCTCCAAAAGTTTCTAGTCTAGTACTTGCCGATTTGCTAGTACTTGCCGATTTGCATGCTGGTTGGCCTATTCATCAGCTTTCCAACAGTGTACAGTTTGTCCAGAACCATTCATGTCAAGCAAGGTACCTTTAAACTGCGATACATGAGAGCCATGCCGGTTGGCGCTAACAGGCCTTGCTATGGGATTTACTGCACAAAAACGAAACTAGTGGCATCATGTATTTCATCTGACGTTTACTCCAAACGTTTCAAGTCTGAAACCTTGCCGATTTGACAACGTGTTGGCCTATTCATCAGCTTTTCAACAGTATATAGTTTATTTAGAACCATCCATGTTAAGATACCTTTAGACTGCGATAAATGAGAACTGAATGTCTGATTCAGTGGTAACATGACGTTACAGTGTCATGTGTTATACCTGAAATCTATCATGACGACGTTATTAGAAGTCCCAGTCATTTCAAACAGCCGAAACAGCTTGTGTTTGTCCACAAACACATTTCTAGTTATTGTAAATGTTGTGTTTACTATAGATTGCAGATTAATGTTTTGATTTTTAAGTGTTTGTCACGTTTATTTGCATATAGATTCTATACGTAGTTGCAGTAATCCAAAAAAGTGTCTCTGACCTGGTAGCAACAAATTACTGACCTGGATTTTATTTGCTCAGCAGGAATCACTGAAACCATCACCAATGGCCTAGCATGACAGAAACGTTTCAAGAAACATACAGTACTAAACCGGGTGAGTTTCTCCCTTAATTTAATAAATATCACACTTGGGTAAAACGAAGCGTTGTGATTTTACAAACGAGTAAATCCCTCAGCAACCCCTGTCAGCGCCGCTAGGTATTAATTCGCTTGCTATATCTGGATCTCAATGTGCCTCAAAATAAGATATTCTAGACAATCTATACATTGATAAAAAAAACCCAAATGCATAGAAGGGTTACAAGATTTAAAAATCTCTATGTCCGGAGCCCAAATAGGTATGCAAAAATGACATATGCATACGGTGAATATTCACCTCTTATTTTTGCTTTGTAAGGTAAATCCCGTAGCAAATCTCTTTTAGTGCTGCGAGGTTATCCACAGTCTCAATCTAATATTACCTCAAAATGAAATTCCAAGGAAAATATACACTGTTAGAAAACTGAATATACAAGATGCAAAAATGCCCAAGTCCAGACCTATAGTTCTGGAGAAAAAAATTCACAATGTATAGTGCATGCTTCCCTCTGATTTCTATTTTGTGCAGTAAATTCCGAGGAACTGTTGTCAGCACCGTTGCAGCAAGTCCCAAGTCTGAACAACCAGTTACTTTTGGATAACGCGAAAGACTAAAACACCGACCATCGTTGGAAAAAAAACTGGACAAAAGTCTATTTACAATTACTGACGACATTATTTACCAAATGTGTTTACCAGACTATAACAACGTCATTTTTTCGTGTTTTTTTAAGCCGCATCTATGAACACAAATCTTTCAACAGATCAGTGTAACAACATTTGCTATGAAATTTTAACCCACAAATCAGTCAATTTCTGAAAACTGCAGTAAAATCAAATCTTGTATAATATTACAATTAAAAAAAGAAATGCCTTGCTTATAGTTTCCCGAGAAGATGGTAAGCGAAATTAAGCTTTAAATTCAAAGAAATGTATCCAAATTAACAACCACCTATCTTTGACTTTCCCTAAACACACATTCCAGAATCTCTTATTCCCACATTTCCAGCCCGACCCCCGCATCCACCACATCCACAATAACCTCGAGTCCGCGACCATCAAACTGACTGATCTCAAGTTTATCCCAACACAAAATATGTCGATAAAGAAAATGCCGTTTACATTACATTAAACATCAATCCCTTTAATCAACAGTAGCATGTAAGTAGCACTCGTTACGAATTTTTTTTTTTAGCTTTGTTAAGCATAGTGATCAAGATCAACTGTAACCTCCAGAAGTATAGCCTACAATAATTTTATACCGCACATCAAAACTAGCATAAAATAATGTAAACAAGTCACAGAGCTGCATCACCGAAGAGCTTCTCGCGAAGAACACGAATGCGCGATCGAGCCTCGTCCCAGTCCATGTAACCGCCTTCAAGATGGCGGCCTCCATCACCAGCAATGGTGAAGGCGCTGCGGGCGTGAAGGACACGAGTGTTATTGAAAGTAGCTATCTCCCCTGTCAAAGAAAAGTAGATTACATGAATTTGGAGAGTTTTGAGAAACCCGTAAGGCCCCAACTTAGAGTCTGTAATACAGTGATATAGAGTCCACTCAAAATTTTGGTTCGGTTTTTTTTTGGGGGGGGGGGCGCAGTACTAACCATTTTTGGAATAAGGTCTTTTCATCAGAGACAGCATTTTAAACTGAAGGAACCCTTTGTTTACGCCACTTTTAATCAAATAACACAATACATATCTATGGAGGATTCATAACTCCTAATTTGACTGAAAATCACCTCCAGAAGAATCATTTTCATTCCGGAGCATTCAGAAACGCCAATCTATTCATATCTCTCCTCTCCCATCTACAAGCTTCTAGACAGGATGGTTCTGGCCAGGATCACTGATATCATCGGGCAAAGTTACCACATGCTCAAGTTGGCTTTCACAAGGGCTGTTCGACTACCGATCAAATCACTCGCCTAGTCCACGATGCCCCTTCCAGATTGAACAGAATTTTGGAGCAATCATTATCGACCTCACTGTTGCTTACGATATGGTTTTGGCATTGTGATGTCTATCTCAAGCTCCTGAAAACCATCCCAGTTGTAAATCTTGTCCAATTCGTGATGATTTCAGTACAAGGCCGTACTTTCATCCTTGAAACATCAAACGGATGCCGTAGTAGTGAGCGCAGGGTAAAAATGGTATTCCACAAATCTCCACACTGGCACCAATCATCTGTAACATCTATATGTCCGACATTTCTGCAACAACTTCAAATCAGTTCATCTAAGCGGACGTAACTGCCATTGGTCATGCGGATAAGTCCCTGCATGGAGTCCATTAAAAAAATCTTCATGCAGGTCTAAGCAGCTACTTTCGTGGCACAACCGGGGGGGGGGGGGGGGGCTCAGAGGGCTTGAGTCCCCCCCCCCCTCCAAGAGGTTGTCAATCTTTTTTTTATTCTTTTTACTCCCACAATTTGACCTAGGTGATATGGCCTATTTTCGAGTAGTATTTAAGGGGTGTCAGTGGCGCCACAAACGTCAAAGTAGTCCCCAGCCCTAAAAAAAAACCCCACAAATAAAACAACTTCTTTCAGTGGCCAAAAATTGTGGACATTTTTTTTTTTAATTTGAAGAAAAAAATGTGCGAGCCCCCCCCCCCCCCCCCCCCGCCCGCCACTTCCTGGGTGTGCCACTGAGCTACTTCAGTAGATGGCATATATGAAACCTAGCAAACTAAACACAGTCTGCTCCGTGTTTCATCTTCCAAGTCGCCTTGCCAAGAGGGAACTCAACATCATCCTAGATGGCTCACAACTCACCTTTGACTCCACACCCACCTATCTTGAGGTTACTCTCGATCGCAGCCTTACCTTCTCTCATCATAAGAAGCGAGTTGCTGCTAAGACACGGTCACGTGTTAATCTCCTTCACAAGCTAGCTGGCACAGGTTGGGGAGCAAGTCCAACCAAAATCCGAACATCTGCTCTCTCCCTAGCTCAACAGCGGAGTGTGCAGCCCCTGCAATATGGAACCACAGCACGGCACAGCACTCACACAAAGTCAGTTGACTCAGTCTTAAACGATGCCATGCGGATAATATCTGGTTCTATATAACCTATGCCAACAGACAACCTTCCTATCCTCTCTGGTATTGCTCCAGCAAACATTCGCCGTGAGTTCATGACTGCAAAATTTTCTCAGAAAGGCCTTATAATCTAGACAGCCTACTGCCCTCAATATTTGATCCGCAAATCGGCAGCAGGCTCGACCGCAAACACTTTGCCTCAGAAGGACTCCATATCATAACCACTCATCCTCTTTCCTCATCATGGACTTGAATCGGTGGAAGGAAGCCTCTTCAACATTCCTAACACGACTCCGTGACTTCATTCAAACTCAATCCTTCAGACCCATAGGCTGGGATCTTCCTCGTGAGGCCCGGGTCCAACTCAATTGTCTTAGCACTAGTTGGCGTCGTAGTTCCTCATTCCTAAAAAAACATCGAAGCTGCCAGACCACAGACCATCAACCACATCATTCATGACTGCCCTGACTTCAGACCAACAAAACACGAGCAGGGACTCGTACACCTCGACCAGGACACCATCCAATGGCTTGATGTGACCAAATTTACCAATCTAACTATAATGTTCACCTCGTTCCAGAGTTCATACGAAAGAAAAGATCTTTGACTTGAATTGATCTGTTTCATTTTGAAATTCGTGGCTCCGGAGGATTTTTAAAAAAAGTCCTTTTACGAAGGCGTTCCCACCAGATGTGGGTGTATTGTTGGAATTGCTGCAATACCTTTCAACCGCACGACGCGTGATTTATGGCTGAATTCTGGCCGAATGGCAATGTTTGTCCACAAAAAAATTGCGGCCTGGATAGAACTGTGAGTACTAATACGAACAAAACCTTCAAAAATTTTTTTTTACAGACCTTCAGCCAGTTGATGGCGCACCACATTTTCTTGCCGATACATCACATTACTGAACAGCTTCAAGGCTCTGTAAAGGCTGATAACCTGTTCCACTGCAACTCCGGTTTGGTAGGGCGCCCTCGAGCCGTCACTGTAGTTAATGGATCGGAACCTGCCATTGCTGTGTACACTGTAGGGGGAAGAACTTGTGTAAATAACTTCACAAATCAATCATGTCGATCACAAGTCAACCATTCTCGTTGTACCATCCAGCAAGGAACTGGTTATACTTTGCACGACACGAGACAGAGGGGTACCCCCGTGTCCCTATACAATATACACACTCTCGATTATAGACCTTTTGCGTTGCGGGTGTCTCTGAGGGTATTTTCATTATTTAAATGTAGTTGCAATGAATGCACCAAAGGTGCATGCCTATCCGGGGGATACAAAGTAGCTAGTGCCCTCTCCTTACCGCAAAAAGTATATAATACATGAGATTCCGAGTACACAAGTATATGGATTCTCCTCAGTGGCATATCAATTGCTTTATGTAATTCTCTGATCGGTAGACCGACCTTGGTGTAATGGCATTCCGTTATCATTGTTTATCACCTAACCTGCAAGGGTGCAGACCAGTAAATCGATCGACTCCCATCGACCTATGTTACAACATGATAATGTAGTAACCAACGGATAATGCATCAACAACCGATAATGTCACAAACATTTACCAATATTACTAACCTATAATGTAACAAAAATTTACTGATAGTGCAGTAAAATTTACTACACTATCGGTCAATTGTTGTTACATTCTCGGTCGTAACCGATAACGACCCGATATGTAGTAACATTTACTACACTATTGGTAAATTTGGTTACATTATCGGTTAGTGATACAGTATTGGTTAATTTAATTTTTGTGACATTATCGGTTGCTGATACATAATCCATTGGTTACTACATTATCAGTTGTAACAACCTCTGTGATAATTTCGCGCACGTCCAAACGTTATTTAAAATACTTGCAATTACGGTCTGCACCCGTAATGGTAATTTACATGTTCCGTATAGACTCGATACCAATCTTTTATTTTCTGTTCAATTTTTGGGTGGTAATCTGGTGAATTTTGGGATTAAAGTAGTCCTGTGACTCCTCGCTATTTTGAAGGTGATACGCGCTCCATTGCGAATTCCACCCTTCTTTTGAAACTTATGTGAATTTTTACTCTTTGAATTGCAGAGTATAATGTGTAGCTTCACGTGCCTACTCGAAGCACACTTATTTGTTGTTGTTTTTGCATATTAATTTCTTTGTAATTTTTCTGTTAAACTGTTTGCTGTTTATTGTGAGGCGCTGTGATCTTTGTAGAGCGCCATATACATTCTTGGTATTATTATTATCAAGTAATTAAGTGGACATAAAAAGTGAAAAATAACTGCTCAGGAATAATCATAGGGAAAGTCATCAAAAGGATTATTTTTCTTAAAGTTTGATATGGTGAAAAGAGCAACAGTGAATCTAGGCCTCCTAAGAACCATCCGAATGAATCCACTTACTCCATTATGTTTCTTGCTCTTTGATTATAATAAAGTTATACTGGTGTGCCTTACGATGCATCTACACGTGCACAGCACAGGCTGTACACGTGCAATGTATTAGCTTTGCGATTTGGCGGTCAGGCCCCCCTTGGACCCATCTCCCCACTGCAGAACTGACCCATGTATGCAAATAACCTTGCCCCTCGTCTATCATTGGGCACTGGGGTTTTACACTGAAAACCCTGGCAGCCCAGGGTTTTGTGCGTAAACTCTAAATGGCCAAAAAAAGTATCGAGGCCGTCCTAGTAATGTTCCAGTCCATGGCCCACAATACCAGAAAAACAATCAAGGGCATACAAATCGTGCTTTGGTCCGAGTTGGCAATTTTGGGCCTATATTCACCAGTCTGCACCGGTAATGGTACCATGGAGTATTGACTCGATACCAACTCGGTGTGAATGGAGGCTACTACTAGTACGGCTTACTTTATGGTTGGTGATTTGCATTTGAGGCGCACAGAACGATGATCTTCGAAAGTGGCGCACAAAACGTCTACGTCTAGCGTAGTCAGGATTTGGTAGGCCTCAGGGAACTCTTTCTGGATTTGTTGGGCAACGTGTAGTCCGTCCACAAACTGATTCTCACCGCCCTCAACATCCACCGTTCTTTGGATGCAATGAAGCATCTGAATCTGCAATCCAAGAATTTATGCTAGTTTGTTTTAATTCAAACATGTTGGAAGACATGACTGTGCGATTAAACTCAAGGTAAACGCTAAATACCGTCTTCTCCTACATGTGTTTCCCGTGAAATTGTTTTTGACTTGAAGAATGGAGTAAAGCAGTTGTCTTCTGATGACGTTATCAGATGCTTATTGATAATTCGTTCGCGCTGATTGCTTAAAACTCTCAAGTAGCATGGACATCAGAAACAGAAGTTAATACTTTGTTGTGCACATGCATCTGAAGTAACACAGTTAATGGTGCGTGCTTTATTTGTAACTCATTAAGGGTAACTCTTATTTTCCTGATTCTTAGATTGAAAAGGTTCCCAAAATAAAGCTTTACGTACGCCTGGATAGTAACTCAAGTATGCTTGGTCGACGTGGAATCCTAGTGGCTTTCCCGTGTAGGCCAGGTCGCTGGCGTTTTGTTGGCTTACAACTTGAAACTCCTCACTAGAAAAAAAGAAACCCCAAAATACTATAAAGAAAACGTTCATAGTCCTGTGTAATAGTCGTTATGCTTAGATTTCATGGAAACGGCATGCACTGGAATTTGACACATATGGGTCTTGTGATTTTTCAGACGTGAACAACTTGATGTTGTCAGGGTAAAGCATACACCGAGACACAACAATAATTGAGGTGGAATGGACATAATAATTTACACTAAACGTTAAAATAGACATATTGTACATGAAAGTATTAAATACACGTTGAAAATACAAAAAGATGTAAATCCATTACTTGCTATTACTGTATCGAATCGAACACAGGAATCAAGTTTCTCCGCCAAGGTGTTACTATTGGAAACAAATTAAGTTGACCTTACTCAGATTCTGTGTAGTTAAAATCGCTTCCACATTTCTATGTTTTATATTGTCACAGCCACGTGGTAGCCATGCCCAAGGTCATCTATCACTAAATCCTAGTATGGACCATTGTTCATCCATCAGAGGGGGTGTCAGTCTTGTGAACCTACTGGAGGGGTTGAAAATTGGCGGGAAAACCTAGTGTGCTTGTGCATATTGGCTTGTGTACAAATGCACTGTTCACATAGGCAGTGGCGTCACCAGACTTTTCAGTCTGGGGGGGGGGGCACAGGGGGGGGGGGGCACCAGCATTTGATGGGGGGGGGCACTTAGGTGGATACGGATCGCCGTCCTGGGGGAGGGGTCTAAGGGGAGGGGGTGCCCCCCTCCCCTTTGGAAAATTTTCGCATACGGAGGATGGGCTACATGCATAATGGTGCCACATTTGATGCTAAATTCGATCTGAAGATATCTCCAGAAATTGCTATTTTTGAGGTAATGATTTTAACAACGCGCAGAATTTTGCAGAGGATAGGGGGGCACCAGCATTTGATGGGGGGCACTCGGGCGGGCACTAGGTTTTCCAGGGGGGCACGTGCCACCCCCCCCCCCCCCCCCCCCCCCCCCTTGGCGACGCCACTGCACATAGGGATTGCCTCAATCACCCCTGTGACCAAATGGAACTGTCAAATGGCATTGACGGGATGTCTGTGGTTTTAATGGCTGTTTCGGGCCTGAAGGATACCACGGGTTAATCAGGGGTGAATAGTCTGGCTGTGAAGGCCGGGTGGCTCAAATTACATGGTGTCATGGATTGATTCCCACCAGGCAACGGATATTAAGGAGGACGAGGTCGCTGTCGCCCCTTGTTCTGGGTCATTTGCATATATTCAAAAACTTGGTCGCATCGCAATTATCAATGTATATACAACTGAAGCACAAAATATATTGTGGACGTATTTAAATACCTCAGGTTCCTAAATATAATTTACGTTTCTTCAAATAGCAAAATGATTACACTCTCTGATTGATGGCGAAGTGGTAACCTTATTATGTCACCCTTGCGTTTTCGAATCTTACCCCCAGCACGTTTTCTTCAAATAAGCAACCCTCTCGGCCAGTTGGCGGATAGTTCCCTTCTTAGTCGGTGCCCCTTTCACCAAGGCCAAGCCCTTGGTGTTTAAGGCATCCAGCCAGTTGAAAAGCTCCATGTCGTCTTCCCGGACTTTCTGGAAGTCGAAGGTCGGGATGTTGTCGTTCAGCTCGGCTCCCCACGACTGCAGCTCCGGATCCGTCACCACGTCCCTCGAGCTGTCAGAAAAATGCCGGCGACTGAGCCAGGCGGCCTGGAAATCGCTGCGGTGCTGGTCGGGCCAGGTGACCCTCAAGACTTGGCCGTCGTCCACGATTGTCTCGGATAACGGTATCACATCAGGATCCAAGTCAGTCATCTTCATCAATCGCTGCGTAGCGGAGGGATAGAAGCATTCAGAACAGCGACAGTTGTCCCTTAGCCAAACGTAAGGATATTTGCCTTCATCGCCGCTGTCGACACGCACACGATACCAACCAGCAGAGTCGTCCCTTGTAATGCTTGTCAGTCGTGGACTCGGTTCCATTTTGAGATTGGAAATGTTCCGATTTAGCAATATCTGCCGTTCTCTAAATATCCCCAGATATTTCAGGTAAAATTTCAAACAATGATGCTCAATTGTTCAAATCTTTTCGAAGGGGAATATCAAAGTTCACACGAGTACATGATTGTACGTACATGTGCGTCAGGACGACCGTAAGGTCATGACTTAATTCTGCTAAATGCACTTCAGAAATCTGTCAGATTGATCAAAAATCTGCCAAATTCCCCTGAATTACTCGAGATACACTGTAAACACTTTAAATCACATGCAGATGTTGTAATATTGCCTTAATTAATTTTCAAATTACATTATAAACAATCTATAGCCACATAAATGTAATGTGAAATTGCATAAATTTCAGGCCAAAACGCGGTTGCGTCACAAATCCAGTGAACCTCAGCGCCTACCAGGCAACCTGTCCTATTTTGCAAGGGTTTGTTTACAAAGATTGAAGCTTTTGTAAACAAATGTACCTTTTTTGTGTGTGCAAATTTGCTCTTTTTCTGTCAAATAACCATTTTTGCAGAAGTCTGCCAGAAATCTGCCCAAAAATCCATTCTGTCAAATTGTCTGTCAAACTCGTTTTTTAACAAAAAATCTGTCAAAGTTAGCCGAAAATCGGCTAAAACGGTCTTTATAATGTGCGTACACGTACGTACACACAACGATCCAAGTCAAGGCGAGCATTGACGCATTGTGGAGTTCAACAGGTCACTGCCTAGTACATGCAACGTGTACTAAACAATCATGTCAATCGAACTACCATTACTCTAGCCTTGACCAAGGCTATCAGTTGTTCCCATATGAGCTTGTTCCCGCTACCGCACACCGCGCGCGCAGCAACGCAATGTTGTACTATACCGTTAGCCCCAACGACCCTTGCGTGTGCTTTGTGTGCATGTACATACGCCCCACACTCACTTCCGCAAACAGCCGTACAGTAAGTCGATTCCGTCTCGACTTGCTGTACGTACGGCTGTTTGCGGAAGTGTGTGTGGGGCGTACGTACATGCACACAAAGCACACGCAAGGGTCGTTGAGGCTAACGGTATAGTACAACTAGTGATTGTGTCGCGGCGCGCGCGGCATGCAGTAGCGGGAACAAGTTCGTATGTGAACAAGCTGATAGGCTTGGTCAAGGCTACCATTACTCTCGACAGAAGTGACATTTAATTGAATCATGGAGCTATAAAACACATGGTTCGTGTACAAACCAGAATGAGCCAATAAGACAACAGCGCCGATGGTTTGTGCACTGACAGATACAACCAATAAGAGAGCATACAATCACTGGTGGCCATCGGCCCAGTGGCCTCGCCTAGCTCAGCTATCAGCCAGGTCAGTGGCGTAAATCTATGCCGTGTGAGTGTGTGTGTGTGTGGGTGAGTTTGTCTTACATACGCAGTGTGGACTTCCGAACAAAAGACGTCCACGTAATGTAGGTAGCACCGACGTTGTGTGGACTTACCCCACGTCCACACAGTGTTTCCCCATTTCTGGAAAACAGGTTTAGAGGCATTTTTGGGTTAGGTTTATCTGTAGCAGAATGAAGAGAAACACTAAAGGGAATCATAGGAAAAAAATTGGGTTGAAAGAGTTTTCACAGTTTGAGAAAAATGAGTTTTTTCACTGGTTTTTCTTAACTACACGAAAGCAATGGAAAGTCCACACTAGTCATGTGAAACAAGTATGGGTGTGTGTGTGTGTGGGGGGGGGGGGGGGGGGGGGGTGGAGGTGACCAAAATTTGAAAAGCGGGGGGGGGGGGGGGGTGGGGTGGACACCAATTGCTTTATAGGCGCTTTTCAGGATATAGATGTATAAAAATGCGTATACTCACGCTTACATCAAAACGGCGCATTCTAAAAGCTTTTAGCACTTTTTTCTTCACTTCTCAGTGCTATTGAATACATTTTGGTTGTTGGGTGTTCGAAAATCAGTGGGGGATGATTCAATAGCCCATCCCGTCCTGGTCAAAAAGTGTGGGGAGGGGGGGATATACACCCCCATCCCCCCCCCCCGATTTACGCCCCTGACAACAGTTGTGTACTACAGTTGTAGTTGTTCCAAACAGTCAGAACACACAGTAAATATAATTTTTGACGAAACGAAACAGGTTTTAGGTAGTCTGAATATCACCCGTTATTCGCGGAACCAAGTCCTGTATATCGTCTGATATGTCTAGACATGCAGATGTATGCTAGCCGCGCGCCAGCCAATCAGAGTCGACTTTACTAAATCGAGAAGTCATTTCATTCCTAAATCGGGACTAAATGGTTTGATTGGTCAATTCGAATGTAGTGTTTCGTATTACAAGTTATACAACAACAGCGGGGAGCGATATCGCGTAACATGATACAGAGCGAGTGACACATTTTTTTTTTCATCCATAGTCTATGACGCGCAACGGGTGAATGACCGAAGACCCGATATAGAAAGCGCCCGCTGATTGGTCGAAATCTAGGAGGTCAAGAGGCGGGGTCTTGCCTAATTAATTAGCGAATCTGAATCGTCATGTTCTATTACATAGACTACACGCACGGTGCTTTCTAAAAGTTTCCTACGCCTCAGCCGGTGACTAAGTCACGAGTCATTCTAAATATGTTTTGGATTACTGAATCTCAGGAAGCAGGACTTCATTGGTGATTCGCTTAGACAATCAGACTAGACACATGACTTGAGTAATGTTCTGATCATGCCAGATATCCGTCTTGCTGAGATAGGTCCTGGTCACCTGGTGTATTGAACGTGAACTGCTCGCAGACAATAGCGGTTTAATACCGGTACGACGGCATAGTGCAGCCAAAACGGTGTGTGTTTTTGGAGCATTATGTTTAAAACCGTTGTACATCACTTTGACTTTGGCACCATAAACTGAGGCCAGCAAGGACATCCGTCTAATTAATTAATTTGGATTTTCGAATTAAAAGAGCGGGATGCTCGGGTCCTTATTCCTTTTGAATAGTGTGCGCAATTTCTGGAGCGCGCAATTTAAAAACAACTTTTCAAACTGTGTAAAGGCCTGCAGACTAGCTGGATATTTTTGTTCCAACTTTCCCGATATATTTGGCGCCTATTTTACCCAGTAGCGCACCCAGGATTTAACTTGGGGGGGGGGGGTGCTCACAATTTTGGTTTTTTTTTGTTTTTTTCAAACAAATCTGGTGGGTTTTTTGGGGGAGGGGGGGGAAATATTTTGACGTTGGTGGCGCCACTTACACCCCTATTATAACACTCGAAAATGTGCCACATACATATCGGTCAATTTGTGGACCAAAACAATGAACCCCCCCCCCAAACAAAATTAAAAATTAACAACCTCTACGATCGGGAGGGGTCAAAATAGAGCGCTTTTAGAGCCCCAATTTCATGCGAATTGCACAGAAATACAAGCTCACGTTCCTGAGCACGGCTTCCATCCTCACTGTTTACGAACCCTCAAGTGCATGGCCCACAATATGCTCAAGTACTGAAGAATTTGAGGGCATGCAAATCGTGATTTGGCCGGCGTATGCTACTTCGGACCCATTTTACTGCCTCAACCCTTTAAACAGCCGCAGCTATAATTTTGTCTTTTAACCCTTGGATTTTTTCCAATTTTGGCCAAAAAAATCAAATTTCTTCAAACTTGCTGGAAAGATGCCCATAGGACCCTTGAACACATTTGATTGGCTTTTAAAAAGAACTTTTGCAAATGGGAAGGACAATTTGGAAACATCCAATCAGTTTGAATATGCTTCATGTACATCTGTCCAAATACAAATAGTAGAAGTCAGGCGCGGATCCAAAGGGGGACGAACCCCCCCCCCCCCCCCCCCCCCCCCACCGGTCAGACACACACGACAAATAAATAAATTTTAATCAAGTATAATAATGACACGGTCCGCCTGTCCTCAATAATCAAATATATCTATATCTAAGTTGCCCGGACCTCCCCCCCCCCCCCGCAAAAAATCCTGGATCCGCCCCTAGCCCTGAACGCACCCAATAGCTCAAAAAAGCCTGCATAATAATAGCGTTCACTGTTGCATAACTCTAAGTACATTTAGCACAAGATGTTTAATTTCCCGTCGTCAAACACCAACGGTACCTTAGCTTAATCGGTAAGCTCTGCGGCTGGTACTGTCCGTGAGTTCCAGGTTGGCGTCTTCGTACAGGTTCAGGGCATGTGGTCCACTCGGAGGATCAGGGCTTAGGGTGCCGCCCTGTTCCTCCCTTAGCTCTTTGCTTTTACATGGTGCCTGGCCCTCCGGGGTTACATGGATGGACAGGGAAGGAAGTGTGTATTGGCCGGGAACCCCAAGATCCCAGAAGAGAGCTAGGGGGTTGGCTGGGGCATTGTTATGGCTCAGACCGATCCCTGAATGCTTGGCTAGCACATAACTTTTTGATTTTTTTAATCCTCTATTTTTTTTTTTAATTTGCTTTAGTTGGATATTTACATCTGCCCGGCAGGTCTCCGGTAGTATTTAAAAAGGAATCACAGGTATGCGTCGTGAATCTATGAATATTAAATAATTGATTATTATCAAAATTAAGTTTCGTTCGATCAAAATGACTACGGTAACCGTTCATTTTACGTCAATTGGTAAATTTTGTAGAAGTTAAACAGAATCCCAAAAAAATCGCCCAAAATTTAGGCCTCAGAAAAATGTTTTATTTTTAATGCTTGACATCGACATGAGCTGATTTTTTTGGTTCAATGAATTAATTTGGATTTTCGAATTAAAAGAGCGGGATGCTCGGATTTTTATTCATTTTGAATAGTGTGCGCAATTTCTGAACTGGAGCGCGCAATTTAAAACCAACTTTTCAAACTGTGTAAAGGCCTGCAAACTAGCTTGATATTTTGTTCCAACTTTCCCGATATATTTGGCGCCTATTTTACCCAGTAGCGCACCCAGGATTTAACTTGGGGGGGGGGGGGGGGGGTGCTCACAATTTTGGTTTTTTTTTTTTCAAACATATCGGGTGGGTTTTTTTTTTGGGAGGGGGGAATATTTTGACGTTGGTGGCGCCACTTACACCCCTATTATAACACTCGAAAATGTGCCACATACATATCGGTCAATTTGTGGACAAAAAAATGACCCCCCCCCCCAAAAAAAATTAAAAATTAACAACCT